TGTAATTTGGTTCGTGTGACCTTAAAAGCGGTATGGGCTGAAATACCAGCAGTCTGTTTTTATGTGAAATACCATACTGCCAGACTGCCAGAACCCCATCGGGACAGACCAGACCAGGCAGCAGGGCACTTGCTCACTCCTCCCCTTGAAAAAACAAACTCTCTTACCATGAAACACCTGTCACCTCCCCCTCCTCGACACACTTCTCCTCCCCTCCCTCCACCTTTAAGTCTTTCTTCTGACTCACCCACTTTTATTCACTGTTCTCTAAACGTTTCCTGTTTTCCTACATCAGCCCTTTCTCATTAAGCTGCGTCTCCCTTGATGTTTCTGTGTATTGTGTTGCGCAAAGTGTGCACCTCTCAGGTGACGGGCCACATGACAGAAACAGCACAGTATCCAGCCATTCGCCCTTCTGACATCACTTGTTTCCCCAGACTGTGTATTAGATTGCTATCTCCATATCTCCTCAGAACATCTCGTTACTGTTGATCCTTCAGGGGCGTCTGTTAGTTACACCAAGTCTGGGGTCAAATCACACTCAGTTCACCTCATTTAAAAACTCTCAGTGGTGGAAAACACTTTTTTGTTTTTGCTCGACTACATTTGTTTGACTGCTGCAGTTACAGGCTACTTAGATTGAGATGTATACATAGTCAGCACAGGACAATATGCAAATGCTCACACATTAACACATCACTAATAATTTAGGCTATAATAAATATAGTCATGTAGGGGCCTGTCTGCTTGACGACCTTATTATGTAGAAAATATGTTGAAACTTTACATTTCAACAACGCTGTGTTTAACGTCTGGTTAGGTTTGGGCTTAAAATACCTGGTTTTGGGGACACACTCCCCTCTGGAAAAATGATAATGTCTCGGTGAAAGTAATCGCCTTTTGTGCCACTATCCCCACTGAAAAAAACAGCAACGGGTCCTTAAAAACACCCATATTAGGGGCTAAAAAAACGCAGAAACACAGCAACAGGTAAGATAAGATAAGATAAGATAAGATAAGATAAGATAAGATAAGATAAACTTTATTGTCCCAAGCAGGAAATTTGCTTTGGGCACATAGTGTGACATAGCTGCATAGCAGATGCAACTATCATATACAAACAAGACACACAGCAGACAACCATGTAGTACGCATGCACGGCACAGATTTGAATAACATAATAGTGCAATTAGGACTACTGGGTGAAATAACTACATCAACTTTATCATATCAGGTAAGGCTAAAAGAATAAAAGCTCCTTAAGGTTGCACTAGCTCAGGAGGTAATCATAAAAAGTGCAATAAAAAACCTGTAGTATACCCTAATGTACTAGGGTAGTGGATCCACAGCAGTAGGCCTCCCCGCTACCCTAGTAGGGAGAGGGGAGGTCCCTAAGAAACACCCATGTTTGGGGGCTAAAAAGTCACTGGAAACACAGGAAGTGGTCCCTAAAAATCACCCACAATCGAGGGCTAAAAAGCCCCAGGAAAAAGAACCACAGGGGCTAGAAAGTCAGGGGAAACACAGCGATGACTTGCTAGAAAACAGTGTCTCCAACAGTGGTCTGCAGCTTGGCTGGCGTCAAGCCTAGGTGACACACCGTCCAATACCCTCTCCACCTCCTGATGACACAGTCAGCTCTAAGTCACTCTAGAAATATTGATAGTGTGCCTATGAAACGTGCAAATATAATGTATTTGTGGTTTGCAGGAACTATAGTGCCAACATTTTCTTCTGGTGACTGGGCTGATACAAGGCTCCAGCCAGCAGGCGCTTAGCTTAGCTAAGAATGGAAACAGTTGAGCCTAATTATCCCCCCACCACGACGTATCTGAACAGACAGGTACTGTATGAGAGCAGTATCAGTTTTATCATCTAACGCTCTACGCATATTTTTCATATTTTGCTTCAAGTATAGGAACTGAATACTTCGACCAACACTGAAAACTATGACAACTTGTAAGAACCTTATTGTGGCAAAGCTATGATACACTTCCTGATTGAATTAGGAGCAAATTCACCCCGACTGTGACTCAGACTCTGGTTTGAATCTGAGCATGGAGAAAAGTCATTCACAACTCAGAGGACAGCCTGGCCTGTGCCGTGATACAGTGTATAATTGTCTGATACCCAGTTAAACAATGCAGACGGGATAAAAATAACCGTAGGACTTCTCAATGACCAGTGCTCACATATGGTGAATGATAGCCCTGTCGAAAAAAGACTGGTTTCCTTCATCACACAAGATTAGTTTTACATCTCTGATTTCCTCTCGTTCGGCATCAGAGGAGAACTTGGAAAGAGAAGCAGCCGCAGGACTTTCAGAGCTGCCCCTGTACCATGACCACAGGGGGATTAAAATAGATGGGCCGTGACTTTGTCTCCTTGGTCACACCATTAGAGCGATGACTGACAGCTTCCTGAGGTGGTTTCCTTTTTTAAAATTAAGAGTCATGACTCTAATGTCAGATAGGTATCTGCAGAACAAAGATGGATGTTGGTTGTAAAAGGGGGCCGACCAGCTAGTTGAATTTCTTTCAAGCTGAAGTAGATTCAACAAAGGAAAATACTGGTTGAACTCAGGTCAGTTAGAAGTTCAGTACTGCTCTCATATCTGTTGGTTAAATACAAAGTTAGAGACAAGAGAGTGGTATTGCCTTTATATCAGCATCATTCTCTCAGTAAGAAAAGGAATAAGTGAATAACAAAAATGTTGAACTCTTACTTCGAGAGTCACCTCACCACCTCTGCAAAGTTTTTCTGTCTGTATGTCGACAGCTTGAAGACGCAGCCCCCACCTTCAGGAATGCCATTAATTTTAGAATCGCCGTCATTACTGATTTAAAGGCTCTTTGTTTTTGTGAGGGTTTGTCAGGACTGAAATTAGCTCGGTGAATCACAACTTTTGCAAAACCTGCCAAAGGCTGGAGAAAGATTTAGTCGAAGGGAGGAACAGGAAAGATGAACAGCTGGGGATGTTTACTATGTCTGTAACTCTTATTCATCTGCCTCTCCCTTGTTAGGAGGGTTCATGTTGGAGCAACCGCATCAGGGCATTGATGAGAGAGCATTGCTTGGCAAGTTACTGTAATCACCCAACATTTGTCACATAGAATAAGAGGGATGTTCGTCTATATGTATAGCACGAGTCATGAAATTCCCCCAACCAATGACAGAAATATTGTTCTCTTATATATGATTTAGATTCAAGATTCAAAGATTTACAGCGCAGTGTGAAGGAAAAGTTACTTAGTTACTTTGCATGACAAAAATAAAATAAAAAAGAGAGAATACAAAGAAATTAAAAGGGAACATTGTAAAAAAAATTATGCAAAAGAAAATATGTACAATACAGAAAATAGTAGAAGGTAAATAAGTAGTTAAGAATTTTGTGTGGAAAACTATAATATAAAATATTATCTTAAAATGTATTAATAATATTAACAATTAATAATATTGATAATATTATATTAATGATAAATTTAATATATTATACAGGGATTATATAGAATACCATTCTTTGTTTGCACTAGGTAATGTTCATCTTTTGTTTTGTTTTTTTGTTTGTTTCGTTTAGGATTTTTTTTTCATTATTTTTTTGTCCGGTGACATAGTACAAACAGTGGACAAATTAGACATATTTAATAAATAAACAAGATGAAAATAATAATAAATAATTTTATAATAAAATACAATGAAAATAAATAAACAGTAATAATAACAATGTTGATGAGTTATATTAATAATATAATAATAATAATGGAAAAGTAAAAAACAAGAAGAAGAAAAAAAAGAAAGTAACGTGCATCAGTTAATAGTTGGGGGTTTGGTTTAGCCCATTTTCAGCTGTTTCAGCTAGATTGCTGATGCACAGGTTGACCCAGACTTAAAACTAAATCAATCACCTGTTTAAAGCCTGAAACTAAACATGAGTTACTTCTCACTACCACCTGTATGAGAATGAGGTTTAACTAATTCACCAGCACAGAGTTTTCCCTGCGCTTAACACCGCCACAGCCCCCATGTAAGAAACCATGTGAGATGTTTGGCTTCTCAGTTCCTAAAGCAGAAATATGCACGCATACATGAACCTTCATAGCTGGAACCTAACTTTCAAGCCTCTGCCTATCACATTTCTCTCATCAAAGGAGGTCTCTGTGTCAGGGCAGGTGTGGCTGCAAACCTGTGGTTGAAAAGGAAGACAGCAGAGGAGAGGGAGGAGGGAGGAGGAGGAGGCCAACCCTCATATGAGCTGCCCTTAGAATAATAATCTCGCTCTCACCCTGGACGCCACCATTCTTTCCAAGTGATCATATCCTCATCATTCCCATGTCAGCACCATGTGGTTAGAAATAATAGTCAGAGGCAGCCCTCCCACCTGAATTTAAGATGAACAGCAAAACAATCAAAACGTGCCTTTCAAAACTGTGGCAACACATTTTCCTTTAGATTGTGATGGTTACAGACAAAGAGAGATGTGTTCACTCTCTCTGACAACTGGTATTATCTTACTATTTGCTTAATGCACTCCACTTTGATTTTCTCTCCTGGCACCTACACTGGTCTGGAAAAACATTTCCAGGGAGTTCCTCCCCCCTTCTTAGTCTTTTTTTTCCCAGAGGTGGAGGTCTTATTAATGTTACCATGCTGTCTGGCCCAGCTGAATATATTTACTTAGTGTTAAGAAAGTGGTGGCCACAAAAGCAGGAATGTGCCTGAGTGTGACTTGAAAGCGGCTGTTACATTTTAATTTTTAACCCATAAAATAAATACAGAGAAGGCCCTGAGATTTTTATGAATGGCTGCATTCATTCCAAAACACGCCCACCAATCAGGGAACTATCCTGGCGGTGAGGCCACGCCCGCTTGGAATGTCTGGGCTGCTGCCTCCGTGCCGATTGGATAGAGGCACGGATAAGGGGCGGGGCCTGCCAGAGGCTCACCAGCGGGTATAAATTAGAGTTAAGACACTTATCTCGGTAGAATAACAAGGACTACGGTCCGATAGAGACTGGATCTCAGCGTGAAACCACTTAAGACTAACAACCGTTTATTGGATTGTAGTTTGTAGATATTATTTTGTCTTTATTTGTGTTTGTCTTGAACCTGTCAAAGGTTAATCATGGCATTTCTGATCTGCCTGACTGTACTGACAACAGCCGTCATCACACAGGTAAGATGTTTCTCTCCTGATTGAAGCACGTGTGGCTGTGAGTGAGTGTTTTGAAAGATTAAGATTAATTTAATGTGTGATCTCCTATGGAAAATGTAGTATAAATGTGATTGAACTTTGAACAGCATACGCATCTCCTGGTGTAAACAAATGTCTGTCAGCCTACAAGTGGGTACAAAGTTTGGGAAATGGACTTCCTGCACTGCTTATATAACAATGCATACTGTTCTTCTAAAGTTGGTTGTCCCTCTCTGGTAACCAGCATGCCTATTCCTTTTATAAAGCACAGTGAAATGTGGATTCCCACTGGAACAAGTTGGCTCTAGTGCCGAGCGATGACTCAAACCATGAGCCAGCAGGGGACTGGATACAAACCCTGAGCTGTCTAGACACTCAGGGCTGACCAGCCAGCAGTGATTTGACTTACTGTAGAGGCGTGCCGCAGTGCTTTGTCTGTAAAAGAATTCAAAATCAGTCACAAACCCTGGGGAGCCTAAGAGAGGACACAGGATCAAAAATGAATGTACCAGCTCTTCCTCACACTTTGATGTTGGAGGAAAAGCTGGTGCTAGTGCACTGATGATGACTTTTGCACACTGCTTGTCTGAATTTTCCAGTCAAGTAGTCTGTGTGTAGCATTGTGGCTCATTTAATTCTCTATCTAAATGTCTAAAAGCCCTTTTCTGATGCTGCTCTAGATCTCTGATGCTGCTTGAACACGGCTCTGGAGGTCTTTTTTTTCTTTTCCTGTAGAAAATGTTGCATGACTCATCATCTGCTTCATGTCTGATGATGTGATCTTCCTCTCTGCTCTGTCCCTCACCCTGCCAGGTGACTGCTAGCTGCCCAGCAGTGTGTGACTGCCCTGGAGAGCCCCTGATTTGCCCTCCAGGAGTAAGCACTGTGCCAGATGGATGTGGGTGCTGCAAGGTGTGCGCTGCACAGCTTAACCAGGACTGCAGCCCCATGAGGCCTTGCGACCACCACAAAGGGCTGGAGTGTAATTACGGCAACGATGTGACCATGGCCTGGGGCATCTGTCGAGGTGAGAGAGAATTTATGTTGGGAGGGAAGGAATTTCACTCAGAAAATAGCTGCCTTCTACAGCTATTTGCACTGCTCACCTGATGGAGGACATAGTATTACCATGCATGGAAAAGAGCCATATATTTAAGATGAATATGGTGAGTGTGACGCAGTATAAAAGCCAAAAGGTGATGCAATGTACAGAAGATGTCAAGGAAATGGAATTTACTAGATTCTCCTTTCCATACAGTAAAAGCCGTCACAACTTAGTGACTAAGCAACATGTAACCTTGCACATCCGGGGACAAGACGGGGTATTTTAATGAGTAGTAGATGTTTTATGGCAGCAACAGGGGGTTTCAAAGATAAAAATACACTTTCCATCTGCACCATGCCGATGCTGCCCCACAAACTATGAATAGCTGGTTCTTCCGAGCTTAGGAGACAAGGAGTCTGACACTTCCTGTGTCCTTATTTCCACTGACCTTTCGATCTCAGTGGTCCTGTGTGGTTTTGTGTACTGTTGCGGGGGCGATCATTGTTTGTGTGTTTTGGTAAAGTCAGGAGTTGCTCAACAGCTGTTGAAATAGGAGCATGTGGTGAATTCTTAACATACTGTATCCAGAAGCCTAACCATTAGTCCCCTTAGAGTTGAAAGGATGTCCGTGTAGGAACTGTGAGATGCATTTCTGAGATAACTAACCTATGGACTGTGCCAGGAATACCCCTTTGCTTTATGGTTAACAACAGTCATATATGACCAACCTGCAGTTTGTGAGTCATAAAATGTTTTGTTGAATGTACCTTTTCAGCAAAATCAGAGGGACGCACATGCGAGTACAATGGCAGGATCTATCAGAATGGTGAGAGCTTCCGTGCCGGCTGTAAACACCAGTGTACCTGCATCGACGGGGCTGTTGGCTGCGCTCCTCTCTGTACCAACAAGCTGCCACCTGCCTCTCCATCCTGCCCATACCCACAGCTGGTCAGGGTACCCGGGCAGTGCTGCTTCAGCGTGGACTGCCATAAGGGCACCTGGCAGCTCCCACCTAAGCATCAGGTTTGTTTTTTTTTCATGCCATTTCAAAGATACTCTATCTAAGTCACTGACACACATGGCACATATTGGAAACATTTTATGGAATTTGTTTAGCAATATCAAATGATGAAGGTGCAATTTATCACTTGCCACTTTGGTTTTACTTTTTACTTTTACTTTTTTCAAGATGAAAGATTTTAAGTTTATTATCACAAACAGAAGCATCAAATCATCACAATTATGAAGCTGAAGCATCTCGAATTTTATCATTATTAAACAAAAGATTCATGCAGATAGAGTGTCTCTCTTCTTACCGATTGCCCTAAGGTAATCCCTTCACAATCAGGGCGGCGGGGGGGGAAATACTGTGGAAAAAAGACACATAAAGATAGACGTGACCGCGGCACAGATGAGTCCTCCGCGCTGTCTCATCTTTCCTTATCTTATCTCTCATCTCAGGTGCTTCCACCACAACAACAACTGCCCAGACGCCAGCACCATCCTGCTCCGCACCAGCCTGCTCCGCACCAGCCTGACAATGAGCTGGTCAATGAGTTCACAGACGTGAAGTCCAGCGGCTGGGAGAGTGAACATGGCTACAAGCACCTGCCTGGTGAGAGAAAGGGAGACTTTAGGGGGGAATATTTCATATTTATCACCTTTGCTTGACTCACTTTTTTTTTGTTTGTTGTTTTAAATTGGGTGCTGGATTTGAAATGTTGTTAATATAACATTACATAAAAACAGGTAAAGAATTCAATGGTTCCCAAAACTTTTGTCTTGTGTTAAATCAAAGCTTTGCAGTTTGTGACCTTTTGTAATAGGCTGCAGGTCTACAGGTTGTGACCAGTTCAACTGAGGTGTAATTATTCTCCCTCAGACTGCCACATTAACTTATTCAACCATTCAAACGAAAACAGACTTGAGATTCTGCAGCCATCCTCTGGAAGACTGTACTTAGGCACAGTGGTGGTTTGAGCTAAATGCTAATGCCATAACTAAAGCATTGGACAAATAAAGATATGACCTGATGTCAGTCCTAGGCGGAAATGAAGGGATCACCAAGTCACCAGTAACTAAAGTCATCAGGATTCATCCTCTGGGTATTATGGATGTTAAAGTTAAAGTTCACCCCCAAATCCAAAATATATATTTTCCTCTTACCTGTAGTGGTGTGAGTTTCCGAGTGTTGAAGATATCGGCTGTAGAGATGTCTGCTTTCTTTCAAATGTAATGGAAGTAGATGGCACCTGGCTTGTTTTGCCAAAGTCAACATCAGTGTCTCTTTCCAAAAGTCATGACTGAGTTACTCAAGATAATCCACAGACCTTGTTGTGAGCAGTTTCATGTAGGAACTATTTTCTTTCTACCAAACTACACCCACCAACTGTATCACCGCGTAGAAGGAAACGTGCAACTACTCATGGACAAGAGACTCATTCTCATGATAGCATGAGATGAAAACATTAATGACATCTTCCTCAGTTGAGGTATAATGTTAGCTAGCTCAGTGGTGCTAGGTGAGCTAGCAGATTTGGTTTGCGCATGTTGTTTGGTAGAAAGAAAACAGTTCCCACATGAAACCGTCACTCAAAACTTTCCTTCTACTGAACTACACCTGCCAAACTGTATCACCACACAGGAGGAAGCATACATCTACTGCTAGCTCACCAAGCACCACTGAGCTAGCTGACATTACAGCTCAGCTGAGGAGGATGCCACTAATGTTTACATCTCATCCTGTCAAGAGCACAGGCCTCTCGTTCATGAGTAGCTGCACGCTTCCTTCTGCACAGCGACACAATTGTCAGGTGTAGTTACATAAAAACTGCTCATAGCTAGGTCTTTGGATAATCTTGGGTAACAGGGTCATGGTTTCTAGAGCACCACAAGCCGAGTGCCATCTAGTTCCTTTACATTCAAGAGAAGGCAGACATCTCTACAGTCGATATCTTCAACACTTGACAGCTTACACCAAAACGATCAAGACTGATAAATAGTACTACGGGCAAGAGGGAAAATATGTGTATTTGATTTTTGGAGTTAACTGTACCTTTTTAAATAGGCTACCAAATTTCATGGCAATCCATTCAATAGTTGTTGAGATATTTCAATCTGGACCAAAGTATTGGACCGACCAACATATGGATATTGCTCTCTGTAGAACCACACTGCTCTTTAAAAAGTAAAGCTCATAGGAAAATCTAAAAAAAAGAGAAGAAAATATATTAACTTCTGCTTTTCTATCCTGTTAATCCCTATGTGATTCCTCACATTTCTATTGTGACCCCCTGATAGAGTCTAGACCCCCAGGTTGGGAACCACTGTCCTCATTGATATGTGTGATTTTTCTTTTTCCTCCCTGCCCTCCACCCTCCTTGGTGTCTCTTCAGTGTGGAACCATCTGAAGGAGAAGAAGTGCCCAGTCCAGATCACTGACTGGTCCCAGTGTTCCCGCAGCTGTGGGATGGGCGTTTCTTCTCGCATCACCAACAAGAATCCTCAGTGCAAGCTGGAGAGAGAGACGAGAATCTGTACGGTACGGCCATGCCACGGCCTAACAGTCCCAGCCAAGGTGAGCTGAACTGAACTTGACTTGAACTGAATGGAGAGACAGACAGAGAGAGAGCAGAGGTCGATTATACACATTACTGCCAGAAGGGCTTCTTATCACAACAGCTTATCTCTCACACAGTGAAACCTAAACGCCTTGTGATAACACACATCAATGAGGAATTATTTCACCTCTTATCTATCATGTCAGACTACACGGGGGGAAACAATGCCTGCTCATTTTTGCTTTGCTTTGCTTGTTTCTATCGTTAAACTAAAGAGCAGAGGCTGAAAAAATCTGTGCAGCAAAGAGTGAAGAATTAGAAGTTCTAGCACTGAGTAAATATGCTCTTAGTGCTAAAGCCATCTTTATCCCGAGCTTAAGAACAGAGATTATTTTAGCAGTACTTTCGGGAAGCTCTGCATCCAGTGGGAACTGGGCAGTGCTGATATACTCGGCTGTGTTTTGGTGGCGAGCAGGCGCCTTTTTAAATATAGTCCCCCACCCCCGGCATTCCTGCCAAGCAACTGTCCATAGCTAGGCCCCGTCTGTGTACTCAGAGTCCAGGGAAGTGGTGTGTCTATATTAATCCTCCCATGTTGGACACACACACTAAGAGCTCCTTTCTCTGCTCGACTGAGTTAAAAGCTCTGGTGCCAAGAGCAATTAAAGGTGTCAGTGTGTTTAACAGAGGAGGACACTCAATCTTTAAATAAAATGTTTAATCTTAAAATTAATCACTTAAATCTAAAAGTAATCCCTCTCTCACTCCCTGCTTTGGCATAACAAGTTGAAGTCGGGCCCTCTTAATGTGAAACTAATGACTCTGAGTGCAAAGCTGCTTAAATCTGCTGTTACGTAAAAGGACAGGGCAGATAAAAATCAAAGCTTATTAGAAATGTTTTATATATTGACAATCGTCATGTTTTGGTGGATTTTGCTACTGAAGCCAATTAGGAACAACACTCATTATTATCCAGACTGTGACACTCATCGTTTGACTTTAATCATTCCACTACAGAGAGGGAAGAAGTGCTCCCCGACCCAGAAAGCCCCAGAGCCCATCCGCCTGTCCTACGGAGAATGTGTGAGTGTCCGCCTCTACCGGCCCAACTACTGCGGTGTGTGCACAGACGGACGGTGCTGCTCGCCACGCCGCACACGCACCGTCCCCGTGACCTTTGTCTGCCCAGACGGTGAGCGTTTCCAGAGGTCTGCCATGTTCATCCAGTCGTGTAAATGCAGCGACGACTGTGGTCACCTCAATGAAGTGGCCCTCCCTCCACAGCAGTGGATGTACGGAGATACACACCAATTTATAGACTAGTACTGAGGAGGATTTTTTTTATTTTATTTGAATGTGATGAGGTCAAGTTTCTTGATGAAGAAAGACACTTCAGGACTAGGGGCCATTTTTCTCATCTGGCTCTAAGTGAGTGAAGACCAGGAGCGCCTTTATTCTCAATCATAAAGGCAACCCTTTATTGTGATCTTATTATATGACCGGAGCAGATTGTACACGTGCCCGCTCCTGTTCAAACAGACATGGGACCTAAATTAGAGCCCTGAAGCACCCCTTGACTTCCTCCACTCTGGACTGATTGCTAGTTCAGGTGTGGGTGGATGAATTTTTTTTTTTTTTTTGACACCCTCAGATCTGCCTGAGAGGAGAAACACTACAAGAGCAACAAAGCACTTTGTTTAGCACTGAGATTTGGGAACTACGACAGCAGTGCACAAGGATCACTTCACCTGCCAACAGCAGCCTCACATACCGTCATGACTCCATATCCCACAATGCACTGTGACAAATCGGTGACAACAAGCAAAATAATCTTTTGCAGCTTTATGTAGAAAGAAAATAGACTTTTTTTTATTTTAAAATGTGTAAAATCAGCATGTCATGAACATAAGCACAGACTGCATGATGGTGCCTTTTATTGGCACACAAGCCATTTATATCTACACACAGCAATGAATGACACGGTTCCTCTTTAACTCACAGACTGTTCAAATGATAAGGAACGCTATCTGGAACTGACACAAGCGTTCAGACAGGACTGGACCAATGCCAATTGATTTCTTGTTTGTGCATTAAATGCAGCGTAGAGAAATGTCTTACAACCCTGTATTTGAGAATTTACTTTGGATCACACTGTAATCTGTAAATATATTTTCTTTATTTGGATCCAAGTTTGTCTTTTTGTCACATTTGTACACTTCTGTGGCTCAAGTGTAGCTGTCACATGTTTTTGGTGGTCCATCCATGTGATAAAAAGCCGTTTCCTGCCCCAAACTGTCTGCTGAGCTCATGTTTCACACAAGGATTTATGTTAACTCAACTTGTACTGTTTCAAAATTGGCAGCCAGTTTTAAGTAGCCAACTGTTTGGTAACTGTGTGGCTATGTGCTTGAAACTATGATGATAGTGCCCTCTGCTTGTAAGGATAATTAACTACAACACAGCTTGTATTTTATGATACAAGGGCAGTGTAACTGTATGTTTAATGTGACTGCCAAAAAAAAAAAAAAAACACCATTAAATAAAGTATAAAAAGTTTATTTGTTCAACCAAAACAATACGTCCATGTTTTAACAAGGAAAACACTAAAACAAGCACCCTGCAAAGACATAAAAATTAGAAAAAAAAACATTTTTATCATTATGAACTTGCCAACATATATGGTGCGAGGAGGGCTTTAAAATAAATGTTGAGTGGGTTTATTCCTCCACCAAAATACGGCAACACCATGGGTCACACATGATCTTCACTGGTAAGATGCTTCTCCACTCATCTGGACTGTTCAACTGCAAAGAGAAAAGGGAAAGTTCTTAAAATGTGTGATCACAGTATGTGTGATGTATCTTTACACTGGCTATCGAATGGGATTTCACAGATCAGTAATAATGTAATTATGCTTTGCTTTATGTGTCATTTCATGTGTTTTACAACCAGATATTTGAATCCAGTGGTGTGGTTTAGGTTTGACATGCACACCAATATCCTGACATGTGATAATGTTGACAAGGGGTCTCATTTATAAACACTGCCTACGTGCAAAATGAAGCCTGAAAGAGGCATACACCCCTTCCCACACAAAAGTTGTGATTTATAAACCTAGATTTATGGGAGAAACTTTGACCCATTCTTATGAACATTTTGGAGATGGGAAACAGGCGATACAGATGGTGGGGTGGAAGCCTTATGGAAGTTATTGTCCAATAATTTTTGGTGTACGCCATTTTTGGCTATTGTCTGTACGTGTATTTTCAGTATGGATCCCACACATTGTTTTATAAATAAGACCACAGGTTTTTTAATGCTGTACAGGCATGTCTTCAAAATGGAAGACTTGCAAACTGCTGCCAGTCCCCCACCCACCCATCCACACAGAGTTATCCAAACACACCTTAAATTGTGGCTGCCTGAATACCACTTCATTTAGCTTCTATGTTTTCTCATCTGTAACAACAGGACAGCAGATATTCTTAATGCATCCACCATGTTAAAGATATACTATGCAGGATATTCCTAAAAGACGTATATGAGCATGTACCCCCACAGCACTGAGGTGAACTTGGTGCTTTATAAAAAGGTAGCGACCAGGTGCCATAAGCAGCAGGTATCCAAGAGACACAGTGACAGAAAAACGCAAATATAGCTAGGCGAAACACCAAACAAGAGTGAATCTGGAGTTGGCCCTTTACTTTCACTGGCAAGCTTGTTTACAAACAGTAATTGACAATCCTGCATAGTATACCTGTAACAAGATATAATGTATAAATGTGTCAACAAAAAATGGGTTATGCGAAGAAAAAAAACCTTAAATATGAGAATACTAGTGCACATGTATACAAATTTGGCAACCGAAAGTGGCAAGCCTCTGGCCAGGCATGAGCAACAACAGAACTTACTGTAGGAGGAGATATCAATCTCCTCTGGTAGCTCTGCTACGTTGACCTCAAAGCGGTCTTGAACTTCGTTCAGGGTCTTAGCGTCAGCCTCGTCGGACACAAAGGTGACGGCCAGGCCTTTGGTCCCAAACCTGCCAGCACGGGCCACCTGAGGTACAGAGAAAGACGTTGGGGCTCAAAAATGGGCTCCTCTCAAAAGCAAACAAGAAAGCCACAGGCTTTCTATCATCAAAAAAGGGAATATATAATCATATTATTATTATTATTATTATTATTATTATTATTATTATTATTATTATTATAATATCATATTATTCCCAACTTTACTATTAATCTCTTTACATTGTAATCACTATTCCCAAATTATAAAACACTGACTGAACAACCTCTAGGGAGGGTTTTGGTGCATTTGTCACAAGCTACAACCCCCCAGCTTATAATTTTTATTTGTAAAATTAACAGATTGCTGATTTAAAAAAGTATAAATTATATAATAGCTGGACTGACTCTGTGAAGGTATGTGTCAGAATCCTCTGGCATGTCATAGTTGAAGACGATGTTGACTCGCTCGATGTCCATGCCGCGGCCAAACAGATTGGTGGCAACCAGGATTCGCCGCTGGAAGTCTTTAAACTGCTGGTACCGGGATAACCTGGGGTGGAGGGATGAGCAACAACAGGAAGGGGAATAAGTAAGATGATATTTCAGAGTGAGACCAAGACCATAAACTGCAAACCTCTCAATCAATATCATTTCACATATAAATCTGGATCTAAATTCCTCAACAACAGAGATCTACTGTTTAATGTGATTTTGGGTGGGGAAAAATTACTGTTGACTTTAAGGTATAAGCAAAAATGCTAGAATCAAAGGGCACGTACCGCTCCTCCTGCGCCATGCCCCTGTGGATGGCGATGGCAGGGAAATTCTGCTCCACCAGCAGCTGGGACAGAGCCACACAGCGATGCACTGACTTTACAAAGATCACCACCTAAAAGGCAGCCAAAAGAAAAGGTTTGCATATTTTTGCTGGGAATGGCAAAGACATTGATGAGATACAGACAGGCTGAAATCAACATAAATATCTCCCTCTACAGGACAAAAATTATGCCTTTTCAAAGAGATTTCAAATGTGATGATCGATATCTGATTCAGTATCTCACAATGAAGCAAATATTGGGCTGAGTACCTGGTTGAACTCAAGGACATCGAGCAGGTCAAAAAGCTTTCGGTTCTTCTCGCTGTCCTTCAACTTGCAGTAATACTGCTGTAAGCCATGAAGCGTCAGCTTGGTCTCATCGTCCACAAACACTTCCATGGGCTACGCAGCAAGAGAGAGGAGCCAGACATTATTCTCACACACAAACAATTTTCTGAAGTTTGAATTTCACAAATGATCTGTGCATGGTGGCTCACTGGACCTGTTCTCCTGGACTGCAGCAGAGCCAGGAGTACTGACTGTCCTGACCAAGCCAAATCTGCCAAGGAGGATCACTTTGCCCCTCTGATATGGCCACTTATGACACTGACAGCCACAAGTGGGCAAAGCTTAGAGGGACTTTGCAACAAACACAAAACGACCCAAACTATCTCACGTGTTAATAACTAATAACAAGAATAACCCAGAGAATCTTAATAACTGCAATCATGCACAGGACACTGATAAAGTAAGCAACTGTTCCTTTTTCATTTTGCAGGGATTGAACCAGCAACCCTCCGGTCACAAGTACACGTTCTCTCACTTTTTGGCCACCACTCGCCATAATTATTGTTTACAGTAATGTGAACGTGCATGAAAAAGGAGAATCCATTAAAAAAACATCACTGGTCCCAGCACACATTGAAATGTCAACATGTGCAACACAGTTTGAATATATGAGATGAAATAAACAATATTCCTGTAGTAGAAATACGAACAAGGCCTATAACTATTTATTCCAATGGGGAAAAAAATGATCAATTTTCATTAACAAAGATTAAAAGGATAAAAACGCGTATTGTAAACGACAATCTCAGATCTCAGCCTGCAGGTCCTTTCATCTCTGCTAAAATAAATACACTGGAAAAAAAAAAGGCTATATTACAGCTGAATGATGCACGGCTGGTTGGATTTATAACATTTGTAAATCTTGATAATAACTTACATCCTGCATGAACTTGCGGCAGACAGGGCGGATGTCTTTGCTTAGCGTTGCACTGAACATCATGACCTGCTTCTCATGGGGTGTCACCCTGAAGATTTCCTGGACGTCACTCCTCATGTCTGTCGGAAAAAAAAAATAAAATAAAAATTCCCAAAGTTACACTAATTGCATTTTGATTCAAGCATGCTCATTACCTCTGAAAATTAGATTGTTTTTTTCTCACTTTTATTTAACAAAAATACAGATTACTTCACTCACTATTAGATCACAGTGTAATTATAACACCCACAACCCATTTTCACATAAATGTACACTGACAGCTTTGAACGTGGATTTGGTTTTAAAGCTCAGAATAAGGAGAATGTTATGGACAAAGACTGTAAAGATATGCGCAATGGGAGAAGATGACATGACATTAACAAGAGACAAATTAATTTACAGAGCAATACTTGAATCAACTGGAAACTCCCAGCCTTACATATTGACCAATGTCCTTCACCAACGCCATTTGTTTCACAAAAGTCCACTATAAAACACTTGTGTTCCTCTTACTCACCCAGCTGCTCCAGCATCCTGTCACACTCATCAAGCACAAAGTGTTTGATGTTCTTCACACTGAGGGACTTGTTGCGGATGAGGGCCAGGGTACGACCTGGCGTTCCTACGACAATGTGAGGGCAGTTCTTCTTCAGGACTTCCTCGTCCTTTTTGATAGCCAGGCCACCGAAGAACACTGACACCTTGACAGTGGGCATGTACTTGGAGAAGCGCTCGTACTCTTTGCTGATCTGGAAGGCCAACTCTCGCGTGTGGCACATTACAAGGACAGACACCTGGCATGCAAAGAGTAACAATATTAGTTTTATTAACTGCATAGTCTCTCCAAAATGTCTGTACTCAGGGCCCTATAAATGTGAACAGCACATACTCCTGTCAAGGTTGTGTTCCCAACTTCGTGTACAGACATGGTATGTCCATTTGTTAAACCCATTCAATGCATATCCAATGTTGCATGTGTATGCATGAGGCCTCAGATTTGAAAACTGTAATATTCATAAACTATATTTATAAAGCACTTTACAGGTGCTTTAAATGATTAAACCAGGATTACAACATTATAGGACTTAGGCAAATTAAAAGAATAGTACAGAATGAACACCTACCAACATCTGATAGCTACAAAAAGTAATCAGAAGGAGGTACGATTTTCATAACAGAATCGTACAAATGTAATAAACACCACCTAGACAGAGACATAGTGACCATTTAGCATGAAAGACGAGCAAAAATCAATGAAGACCAGCTCACCTGACCATCCACAGGTTCTATCTGTTGCAGCGTGGCCAGTACAAACACTGCTGTCTTTCCCATACCAGACTTAGCCTGACACAGGATGTCCATGCCCAAGATAGCTTGTGGAATACACTCATGTTGGACTGAAAATACAAAATATGGCAATCAAAAGGTGAGTGAAATCTTCAGAAACATCTACTGATTCATTGAAAATACAAGGATATGACACAATCAATAACGACAACACACGAAAAGAGGGAGTTTATGTGTAGGTGTAGACCTTAATTTATTATATTTATAGAGACAGCTATGGATATATTATATAAACAGCTTCAAATGGAGCATATGTCCATGTCCTTTTTTAACTTTAAACAACCCGTAACTGCCTTTACCTTCTGAGGGATGCTCAAAACCACAGTCGACAATGGCACGAAGCAGCTCTGGTTTGAGGAGAAAGTCTCTGAAGCCTGAGCTGTGAATGGATACATAGGACCCCTTCACTTCCTTCTTGTTTGCTGGGGTCCCACTCTCAGGGGCTCCCTGGGGCTCCTCATCCTCTTCATAGTCCAAAAGTTCATTATCAACGTCGGTCTCAGCCATCTGTATGAACACAATGTATATCAGCATATCTGTCTCAAAACTTTGCTCAAACAATAGACTGTGTCAAAGTCTTCTTCAGGATGCAAGCTCACATTTGAGATGAAGGCCGAGTAGTCTCTTTAAATTCAAATGATAACTCTTAGATAAATCAACGTAATCAAACATTCTTCATAAATTCTCATATCTGGTGATGCATATCATCGTTATTTCATATGTCTGATAAAGTCTGTTTCAAAGGATAAGTTAATCTAGGAATTGGTTTTGTTTGTTACCAGCTTGGTGCCCAAATGATCCGAAACTCTTATCAGCTGTCGCGAGTTAGCTTACGTTAGCAGAAGGATGATTTGGCTAAAGTTAGCAGGCCGCAGTCGCGGTTCGCAACAAAACGAATGAATGAATTCTTGGAAGGGGGCGTTAATATTAACCTCTATTCGTGCAGTCTTAAGCTACAAACGTGATAAATGGTTCCCGTTCCCAATTAGGCTGCCTGCAAATGATGGCCGACCGGTGTGCTCCGGCAGAAACAGCGATCCTCGCCATTCTCTTTCATTCAAGCCGGCTAGTTAGCAAGCGAGCAGCTAACAATTCAAAGTGGCTCACGAAGTACTTTAACCAACCCAACTATTTACCTATACGGGATATCTTACGTCTCTAGCATAACGTTGTTACAGGATATGGTAGTGTATAATGGATGAATTGTCAGAAAAACAAGAATTCGCACTACAACTAAACAGCTAAAGCTAATTGGCTAACTCAAAACAAAGCTAATGATCACGCAGCTAGCGTGTTGGCTACCGAAGCAACTCGCAAAGCCCCAACTCGAGCCACTTCTACAAAGTATTTAAAAGAAATTTCAATTTATAATTAAATGCATCTAAATTCTGGCGAATTTACTGTGAAAAACCACGAAGGCACGGCACAATACCTTGGTGTGATGTTTAATGTCCCGCCGATGTCAATGTGCGTGATTCTACGGAGATATCAAGGATTCACAGCACAGTGAGCACACATGTATGGTGCGTTCAGGTACACCTCGAAAAACCTCACGCTCTCGATGTAGTGTGAATCATGGTGTGGCTCAATGGCTATAAAAAGTACGTGTTATGATGGTTTTGCCCGACAACAAAATGAATCCTGTGACAAAGTTATTAGGGCGTTGTTTTACTTTACACACACAAAACCCTGAGGTGTAATTTTGTCCATTAGATTTAGGCAAGGCAAGTTTATTTGTAGAGCACAATTCGTACACAAAGTAATTCAAAGTGCTTTACAGAACAAGAAAATGCATTAAAATCACAATACAAAATAAAAACATAAATAATCATTATAAAATGAACTTTAAAAGAGAAGAGTGCAGATAAGATCCTTTCAGTCATATGCACAGTGAAATAGAGCTGTTTTGAGCCTAGATTTGAACATTGTCAGAGTAGAGGCCTGTCTCACATCTTCAGAAAGACTGTTCCAGATTTTAGCTGCATAAAACTGGAATCCTCATTCCCCATGTTTAGTCCTGACTCTGGGCACCAGCAGGAGGCCGGTCCCTGAGGTCCTCAGAGTCCGAGATGGTTCATATGGCACTAACATGTCAGAGATTTACAAATATAAAAGTCTACATCGTTAAAAAATCATTTTGACACCAATTGATGGCATGGCTTTCGGATTCTCCGCCGCTTAAACCAATTCCTTGGTAACTTTAAAGTCATACATCTCCATGTTCCTGTTATATGACAGTCAAATAATCCTGTCTATATACTGTAAATCAATATTCCCTTATTTGTGACATCATCTGAACGCATCTGTGCGTCACAAGCGTCTGCAGCATGCAGACCGTCGCCACTTTTCCAAGGCTGTGATTGGTCAGAATCAAAGCGGTCAGGGAGAAGGGCCAAAATAGCACTATTTAATAAACTATTATTATGCCTTTTGTTGCTTTAGATTTTTTTTTTATGATGGACTACTGTTACAGTGTCTTTTTTATGATTTAGGACAGATAATATTCTCGACGGAAATTTTACCTTTTTATCTTATGATAGGATGTTTTAAGAGAGTGAAAGTCTTGTGCCATGATTATTTAGCTATTGCATTGTTAGTCTAGTTAGTATGTTCATGATATTTCCCATGCAGCACTGAGCATTTGCAACATTTGCGTGCTACAATAGCCCCAAGAGCATTGGGAGCTGCAGTATCCAATATGTCCACTTGATGGCAATAAAGTAAAGACATTTGGCCAGGTAACAGCTATCATTAAATGCATGATCTATGAATGATCTTTGCTCATGTTGGTCACATGGGGCCTCGGTACAAAAGCTTAGAACATCCCTCAAGGCATGTCTGTGTTAAAAAGCACCAATATAGGGATCTAATCAGAACTGAATTAAAGATGCCCTATCTTTGTTTCTGCTGTTGTGGAAGGATCAAATCCTTATTTATAATTTAAATTCAGCACAGTTCTTAAAAGGAAAACTGGGTGATTGAATGAGTATGACCTTCCACTAATGTCTTTTCCCACAGTTTTTGCAATACCAGTCATTACAAGCAAACCTTCAGTTACCAGTACCTTTAATGGAATGTGTACAAAATTAATGTTTCACTACCAGATAAATATTTTGGCCACCTTCCTTCTGCTAGCTCTGTGGCCAAGATGTTCCTCTCCTTTCACAGCCTCCTGTTGTTGTATCTCAGGTTGAGAGCTGTTTTTTCCCCCACTGTATAGGTCATCTGCAGCATCTCATCCCCTGCAGTCCAACCATCCTACAGCTCATACTGCAATAGAGTTGGATGTCCTCTATCTAGCAGCACTAGTATTGAAGTCACACATTGAGGTTTTTTTGTGTTGTCTCTTTTATGCAGGAAGTGGTCTACCTGGGCTAGAGATCCAGGCCCTAGATGTGATGACAGTGGCTGTGGTGTTGCTTTAACAAGCTTATGTTGAAAATGACTACAGTTCATGTGTGATAGCCTTTGTCTTTGCCTCGTTTATGTCCCATCTGAGCTTGTTCAATGTGAGTGAGTTTCTGTGGTTTGCACATTCAGCTCAGGAGCTGAAGGCTAACACTGGTCAATTGTTTGAGCATAAATCTACTACTGAATACAGTGTTGTAGGCTCAGGGGGCTGTAAACCATGAACATAAAAGAGATAAAAGAGGGAGAGAAAAAAAGAAAAGACAAAGTCACATGGTGTATGCTGCATTAAAACAGTGACAGTGGTGTAATGTAGCAATGTGCATTTACCCAATGCTGTACTAAGGTATAATTTTGAGGTAGCCTACTTGAACTTTATTAGCATATTTCCTTTTAAAGGCCTTTTCAGGATACTGTAACTTCATTACAGTTTACAGGGAAACATTTTTCTTTTACTCCACTAAATTATCTGACAGCTATAGGCTAGTTACTTAACAAATTCAGATTAAACAACAATCCGACAGTATATTATAGCTACAAAACCCCAAGTAAAATGACATTGTTGAATAAGCAAAAATAATCAAATAATCTAATTATAATAGTCCACACTTTTGCTTTTAACATTGTAAGTGCATTTTACTGATAATATTTACATATAAGTAACATTTTAATGCAGGTATTTTTTTTACAGTGTGGTAGCCTTTAGCTATATTTTCTTAAGTAAAGTATTAGAGTACTCCCTTCATTCACCACTGTGCAATAGGCTACCTGCTGCCAATCTAACGACAAGCTCAGGTGTCACAGAACAGGTATGTCTACTTCTAATTTTAGCAAAAAATCAAAATAAAGTTAATTTTTTTAAAGAAATAACAGTAAAACATAGCCATACAGTTCACAGGCGCTTAGATATAAGACTGGAGTTTGTTGTTATGGCATAATCACTCACAAAGCCAGAAATCAATTGAAATCATCACATACAACCTAATTTGTCACATAATTAATCGTTTAGTTGTCATACACAGTAAATCCGTTAAAGCTGACACCGCTGTATGACACCTGCTGATCCCGCCTCCCTGCAAAATAAAGCTCTATGCTGATTAGCCACCTTTGTTGTCCTTCTAAAGGATCCCGCAGTCTGAGCAGACAATTGGTTCGTGACTTGTCAGTCATTTCTCATTCTGCCACCTGATTGGTGCGCCCCACCTCGTGCTCAACTGAAGCACAGAACGCCAGCCACTCTGTGTGACTCGCTGGTAATGATTGATGCTGCCGTTTATGCCGTATCTCCGATGAACCGCAGGCTACATCGCGCGGCTGTCATGGTTATTTTAGCGGATCTGTACAGAAATATTTTCCTCCTCTAGTTCAGTTGACACACACACACGAGCCTCTCCGCGTGCAGAGGGCTCGCGACCAGCTGTGCGACGCGGCGCTGCCTCCCGGTCGAGCGGCGGCAGGACGATGGCACTGCGTTGGACGGTCTCTCTGTATTTGTCCTCGGTGATCTATTAAGATTTTAATTAGCTGGTAACATAACATACGTTTGACGTTTACGACGGGCTGATGTGGGAGCGACCATAAACGCACCGCTCTGATTATGGAAAAGGAGTCCAGGTAGGCTTTTAATGTTTATTTATCTATTTGAGGTGCTTATTTCTTTAAAGGGAATATCAGATGTTACCGTGTGAAGCGTATGTACGGGCCCGAGAGCTTCATAGCTTGTTTCAATTCAACGTTAAAATATACACAGGCCCTCATAGCAAAACACTGTGAAGCCCCATCAACAGCAGCTCCATCCGTCTGCTCCATTTATCTCAGTGAAAAATTCCACTGTACGGCATGCCAACGGAGACACGGCCCATTCATTAGCCCATAAACCATATTTATTGCTAAGGCATAGCATGCTCTCTGCGCCCTCATTCTTAATATCGTTACACAATCGCATTGTTGTGGAAAGCCGGGACATTTGGTGCCGCACAGAGTGGATGATGTGTCATTTTGGCCACAGATGTTGATCCAGCCGAGCCATGAGCCGACCGCAGAGCATGTAGGCCTGTTGTTGAGGCATCCTCAAGAAACAGCAGGCCGGGATAATGAGCTGTCATGTCCAAACATCCCTGTCAGTGGGATTACAGGCTCTTAAAGTAAGGACAAAGGGTTGTAGGAGTCATTGTCACCTTTAACAAATGCCTTTTTGCTTCAGTAGCAACAGTGGATGGATGGCAGAGGGGTTACCATGTTGTATCCACCTGTGTGTTTCTATCCAGATATCCTGAGCTGTCCTTGATACACAACACTGACACCGAGCCCCAACCTGCACGTTTATTGGTCATTTTAGCTTGAATTGTCATTGGGTCAGTGTTGTTTTGGCCCTTAATCAAGCTGTTTTTACTTTATCCATCTAATCAGTGAGTGATTAAAAAATCCATCTGGCTTGTAAGACAGAAAACCAGCACTTCTCTCGAACCGCTGTGTTAAATGAATCTATGCTGTAAATCTGGGCCAGGCACATATCACATTACCTCCTGAGTGGAATAAAAAGTATAGAGCTGACATAGTTTTTGTGGTATGATGTTGAAGGGTTAAAGATACCGCTGACTACACAAAATGGAAGAGCTCCCTCAGGCACTTATCTTTTTTCTTTAGGAGTGGGGAAACTATTCAAGGAATTAATTATCTCACTCTGTTGATTGTGATTACGGCTTAAATGCCCCATGACTAAGGACATGTACCACTGACTAATGGGTCGTTCATCATATCCTTGTGTGCGATACAGTGAAATTACTCTCAGGCTTATCTACGAAATCCACTCACCGTGCAAAAGGCATCTCACACATTTCACCGTCAAGGAAACAGGTATCTGATTCTCACATCCTGGTGACCTTGTTTCTGTGCGCCACAGCCTCGAAACTTCTTCTATATCTGATCCTCCCATCACACGCGCACACAAAAGATTGCATACAACGTCTGTGACATGCGAGCACACCCCGGCTTATCCCAGCCAACCTTTTCCTGTGCACTCACTGCTGCTGCTGCTGCTGCTGCTGCTGCTGCTGCTGCTGCCACATTATTCATTTGTGTGAGAGAGTGGTAAGCTAATAGGCTCTGGACAGTGTCATCAGGATAAACAGTCTTTGAGTTGTTTGTACACTTGTGTGTGTGTGTGTGTGTGTGTGTGTGTGTGTATGTGTGCATGGATTTGAATCTGTGCATGCATGTGTTTGTAGCCTCCAGTGAGAACAGGAGGAGGGATATCATCTCACAGCCTTCTCCCTGTACTGTACAGTTGGTCTGCCTGCTGCTGTCCAGGTTTATTATCGTCTGCCGCTGTGTTTGGTTGTTGAACAGGGACAAACAGGAGCCACATGTGCAGGTCATTAACAAGGACTGATAGACTGACTGGTAGACAAAGACAGTAGACTGACTGATTTCTCTCTCCCCTTAAACAACATTTGCCTTTTGATAAATTGTGCAAATAAGGGTGATGCTACGTCTTTTTCCTGAGCTTCAATGAGATCTAACATCCACTCCACTAGTGGCTTGAAAGAATACTTCACCCACAAAATGACCATTTGTGTATCAAGTACTCACCCTTGAATTCTTTAAGAAAACTTCTTGAAAGCTTTGTTTTTCTCGCATTCATCCACGCTGAACAAACAATCCAAAAACGAAGAAAGTCATAGGGGTCCACGTTTAACAGCACCAAAACTAAATCAAAACATCTGTTCACAAACTCTCACACAACTCGTGCAATATACTTCCCAAACACATGGATTTTTGCTGAAATCCACACACTTGCCCAGGCATGCTACTATGCAGAAGTGTTTTAAATAATAAGGTTTAGGCGATAATGCATGTGTTTTAGAAGTAGTGACAATACAGCTGGATAAATGAGACTTGGATTACACTAAAGCCCGACCAATTTATCTTCTAACACCTACAGATGGCTGAGAAGCCACAGTGAAAAGGCAGTAAGGTGTGGAACTACTTCTCCAGAGACGGTAATGCAGTTGTCTGTAATACCTGCAAAACAAAGATAAGCCAGGGATCTAGCAAATCCAGTCATGCTTATTTGTAGAAATGTTTGGCAGTGTTAAATAGTCTGTAACAGAGTTATTTGTTTAAGAAAGCAGCCTCCTGAGCACCTTTGCATGTTCATATCGGTGCAAAATTGGTGCACAGTCCAAATAGAAAAGGTCTGTTTTCATTCCACCTCAAAAATTCACTATATATGAATTTTTCCTCTCTGAATTTAATTTAGCAGCGGAATCAGTTTCAAAAATCCCATATTGGTCAGGCACTAGATTATACTGCACAAGCTTTTTGAGTTTGTAAACAGATGTAGTCATATAGTTTTGCTGTTGTTATAAAAATGGCCCCCTTTTACTTTACATAAAGCATGTTTTTTGGATTCTTTGTTTACTGTGAAGGCATGTGAAAACAAAGATATCTTCAAAAATTCAAGTAACACAAGGTGAGTCATTGATATACAACAGATCGTTTTGTGATCGTTTTGAGAAAGCAAGCAGATATTCACATCTGAGAAGCTGGAACCAGATCAATTTTGCATTTTGATCACTAAAATTTTCTTTTCACTAATGCTCTGTACTAGGCGTCAGGCACCATCAACACAAAGGTGTCGAAGTTTTACTGTTAAATGGTTTATTTTTAAAACAAACATTGTTCCTCTAAAGCCTTCAGGATCATCTGTTCTGGCTCGTGTTTGTCTTACTGGCTGGCTTGTTGGTTTACTGTTCTGGTGCTGGCCTGGTCTGTGTGTACTGCACTTTATTTCCTCTGCTGACACATGGAAACAGGGAGCAGCGTGATGACCTGGCTGCCGCGGTTCAAGCTCAGTGTGACTGCAGCTCCTCCACAGCTCTCCTCTCTCTACGCTATTGTTCATGTAGGCTGCAGGTTTTGTAGGTTGTAGGTTTTGGCCTTACCTATTGTTTCAAATATTTGGTAACACTTTATTTGAAGGTATCTACATAAGAGTGACATGACACTGTCATAACTATGACATGACACGGTCATGAACATGTCATGAACATTATGTACATGTCATAAACCTTTATGACTGCTGTCATTAAGTGTCATTCGGTTTTTGTAATGACAAGTTGACATTGTTTGGGTTGTCTTGATTATGACAACTTGACATTAAAGCCTCAATGTGTAAAAATGGTGAGTAACAGTGACATCAGCGGTCAAATTCTAGATTGCAGCGCTCACTCGCGCTCACTCACTCACCCCTCCTGTTGGGTAAGTGATGGTGGCCTCGTAGGACAAAAAGACTTGCGCAGACAGCAGAGTTTTTCGAGTTTTTCAGGAGTATCTAGCGACAAGGTGAATATTTATTTAGGAATCTAAACCATGTTACAATATGTTATAGCTTACCAGTGAGATATAGGTTATCTGTGAGATAATATGTTAGGAGTGTTTTATTTCTAATTGTTTTGATAACATGAGCATTAGCACAGTAATGCTAAAATAACACATTTTATGTGATAGTCACGGCATAGTGCGGCAAATATAGGTTGGTACGATTATAATATATGCGTTTCCAGAGTGTTCTTCCACAGGACACAGGGAGAGGAGGAAGACCAGGGAGAGGAAGGGGCGAGGTGGTAGAAGCGGTGCAGGAACGGCCAGGTGAAGAGGTGTGTCTCGGCTACCCAGAGGGAAGAGGAGGAGAGGGTGGCAGCCTTCACAGCAGCGCGAGAGGAATCAACAGATTAGGCTGTAGGCTAGGCTAACCATTTAGCTGTAGCTCTGGGATAACGTTAGCCAAGGCTAGGATAATGTTAGCACGTAAACGTAGCCTTCACTCGAACTTAGACGAGAGGGAAAAGTAGTTGCAAACATGAAGCCAAAATGATTTTAAAATATCAGATTGAATTACCTGTCTAGCAGAAAGCAGGCAACCTCCGCATCCCTTGTGAAATCCTTCTCCTTCAGGATTTCTTTCCACCTGGAATAATCAATTCTGATATTCACTCGCGTTTTGTCCTGTCCTCTCTTATCTGATCTTTTTCTTTTATTTGGTGGCGTGGTTTCCCTCTTACGGGGCAAAACATATGTGTGGTCCTCCATTTGAAGTGCGACAGAATCATAAAAGTACAAAGCAGATTCACGCAGAAGCGCCCCTGCTTGAGTTTCACCTTCTCTGTCTCCAGTGACGGCAAGTTCTAGGTAAACACGAAAGGCGAAACACGTATATCCTTTTCAGCCACTGTATTCAAATATGGCGACGCAAGAGGGCAGCCTCCAGCAGACCGCGCCCTGCCTGTGTATATATAGAGAAATCATTCTAAACCTATGAGAAAGCTTCCATTTGTATGTGAATTGCATTACACTTTAGTAAATATATATTTATGAAAGCAATAGTTGATATTTGCTAATAAACAACCATGTAAATTACACATTGTAACTTTAATTAAAGTGACATTACCAGAAGCTGTCTTTGTCTCGACAAGTTGACATTAAATTTGTTTGGGATGTCCTTATTCAAAATGCCATTGACATGACATTAACCAGGATGACATTACTAGAAGATGTCTTTGTCGTAACAACTTGACATAAACAAGAAATGCACCTCTTTTTGTTTTTATTAC